GAGATGTTTTAGAGGCCTTGTGTGTTCTGCACACACAGATGTCAGGCAGATTTTGCTGCTTTACTTCCAACAACTGACCAAAAGCCACATTTCTCCACCAGTAATAGCAGCTACAGTTTGGCACATTGATTAGGAATCAGGGACAAAAACCACATTCCAGGAGAGCACAGCACTGTCTTCAACTAACAGTACGTAACACAAGAATAATAGAAGTTGTGTTAAATTGAGGTATAATTCAGGCAAAAGAAAAATGTATTGCCTAGAAAAGATTCTAAGAAAAATCTGGTGATTGATTACCTGTGGCACAAACAGCTTAGAGAAGGAGAGAGTCCTGAGTCAGGATTTCCAATGTTTATCTCTCTGCTGAATTCCCTTAGCAGTGTAATAGAACATTCCTAGGTGCCTCATACCTCTCCTCAGCATGTGTTCCATTTCTCCTTCTTTTTTGTAGTTTGTGATGACTTGCAGTTTTTTCCCTCCTCTAATTTTTTCTTTCTTCTTTATATCTGTTTTTATCTTCTCTCATGCTTTCATTCATTCCTCTTTCTCCATCTCCTCTCTTTTACATTTATTCTCTTGTTGGCAGTTCTTTCACTCGCATTCTGAGCATATTTATTTTTCCAGGTATTTTCCTCTCCCCTGTTTTTTTTTTTTTTTTTTCCCAGAGTTGCTGGAGATGCAGACAGTGCTGCAAACCTCTGGGCTGAGCTGCTCCTTGCTAGGAACAGGGTGAAAAAAAGAGAGCAGGAGCAGCTGCCTGGATTGTGAGCCTCTGACCTGCTCCTGGTTCTGCAGAAGAGTGCCTGGGGTGAGGAGGGGGAAGGATGTGAGAAGCTCACACTGAAACCCTGACCAGATCCCAAAGCTTTTCACAGACATAAACTCTGAACTATCCAGGAGTGGTCTCCTGGTAAAAGGAGGCAGTGGTTGCCAGGTTTGGGAATTTGGAGCCCTTGGAACATTTTTTCAGACATGCTGCTCTTCAGGCTAATTATTTCACAATTTTCATCCAGAGACGAAGGTCATTTGATGCACTGAGCTATCATCAAGGGGCCTGGGGGCTTTGGAGTGACAATTGTCCATTATGAACATCAGCTGTGCTTCTTCCCAATTATGCTAAGGGATGTTAAGCCCTAAGAGAGACCTGAAGAACAAAACTTGGCAGATTGTAGGGGATTGTACCATTGAGAGGCTCTGACAGGCATCAGTTGGATCAGCCATCAGGCAGGATTAATCAGCCAAAGCTCAGCCCCTAGAAAACCCCTGCAAACAGAAATTGCCAACCAACTTCTCCTTCAGCCCATCCCTGAGGCTTTAAGAGTTATCCTGTTTTAATAAAAATGCAAAGCTATTAATAGAAGTCTCCACGTGGAAATTATTTGTGCTGATTCCATTTCCTAATCCTATAGCTTTAAAGAGCCTTGAGAAAAGCAGGTATATCTTGATCAAAATCTTGCATTTTTCAGAACAGAAAAGATGCAAAATGTAGTAAGACATTTGTGCATTCAGGCTAATAATAGATATGAAAAATTATTAGTGTTCGTTGACCTTCAAGGCTTTTGGAAAAGCCATTCCTGTGGCCAGAGAGAAGCAGTGAGAATGTGGCTGTGTATTTACACAGGTTCTGGTGTTAAAAAACACCAGTGTGCTCAAGCTGGCCCTCAGACCAGAAGATCCCTGTATCACCATCCTCTGGCTGCTGACAGATTTGTGGTGAAAGGCTGTTACAGCAATGGGTGACAAAAAATATTCGGTACGTGGTTTACTGATCTGCAGTGAAATGGTTAATTTTTGTGAGTTTCACTGCACATTCATTACGAGGCAATTTGACTGGAAATTTAATAGGATTATTTTTGACTGTTGAGGTTAATGGCATTACCTGTTTGGCTTTTATAAAATCTCCATAATTTACCAATATTTATCTAAGTCACCATAAAAGTATAGAAATGGATAGTAAAATTACAGACAGCTGGGTACAGGAGGAAATGAGACAAATTAAACCAAACCCATGCTCTTAGGAAAACACAAATGCCAAATTAAGTATGTTAGGCTAACAGTTTAAATAATCCAATTTAACACTAATAAAGCTACTTTAGACCCAGGTTCTGCTTGATTTTCAATATGAGTGTGCAGAGGAAAATATCAGCAGAGAGGCAGAGAGCTGGGCCTAACAGGGATACCAAGGGAATGGGCATTTTGGACACCTGTAACTTTCCATATTCATTCACATATTCTTAATAATTTTTCACTAAAGTAGAGAGGCACAGGTTTTGGAGAATTGCCAAGAGACAGCATTTATAATGGAGAAGTGTAAAGAAGAACAAATTATTTTGGTGTTTTTTCAGGCTTTGTTTGATTATTGTAATATTTCTAATTGGTTTCTGGTTTACACAGAGAGTTAGAGACTAATTCAGATGTTTGCACCCCTGTCTCATGGCTGCAGCTCTGCTGAACAGTGATGATTCAGAAAATTCTTTTTCATGACAAAGTCATTATTTAGATAGCAGATCCCAGCTAAAGTTTTTGCCTTTTATTTGTCCCTTCATTTTCTTTGGATGTGGGCAAGCCAATTTAATTGAACAGAATACTTACAGGTTTTACATTCACCATTTGGTGAATTTTATTCAATGGCTGTTCAGACAATGTGCAATGCAGACAAATCTTCCATTCACACAATTGAAAGAAAGAACTGAAAGTAAAGGATATTTCTTTTCAAGGTTTGAAAGCTTTGTTTCACAGTACAGTACACATGAACAGTATGTGGCTAGGAAACAAAAGTCAAAATATGAGACTGGAAAAGGAATATAAAAGAGAATTGTTTCATGGCATACATCAAAAGATGTCAACAGCTATTCTAAAAAGAAAAATAACTGAATATGACTATCACCCACAAAGGATCATGATGCTGTAACTTCCACATAAAATACAGTTCCCAAAAATCCTTTACTCTTTTTGTCTCATGTAAATGTTTTATGCCTTTTTCCGTATTTTCATGTAGCTAAGACAGCCTTAATCTCTTTCTGTTTACATCTCAAATGGGTACCTGAGATTTTATAAATGTAAAGGATCTATTTGGAGCTAGAAGAATGCTCTCACAGGAAGGCCTGCAGGAAAAGGAAGCTGATAGGAAAGGTGCTTCACAGAGGCCCACAGTGATTGTCAATGTGTGAAACCATTCCAGTATTCTCCTTTGTACATGTAATTTCACAGACATCAGTAGAGCAGTAGAGCAGGTCACTCGAGTTCTGTCCATGAAGAAGTTTTTACTGTAAGCATCTTTGATTCAGAGCCTCGAGTCCAGGCCTCCTGATCACTTTTGGCAGATTTACAACTGAGACAAGACTCGGACCCCAAACAAACACATGTATTTATATTGCTGAATAAATGTTCACAAAAATACGTTCAGTTCTAAAGCTCTGACACTTGAAGAGTTCCTAGGGTGCAATAGCACAAGGAAAAGAGCAGTGATACTTAATTGTGGGGACATTTGTTATTGCCTATCACAAGATTGTACATCCAGGGCTCATTCTATGGCTGAACAAAGATGAACTTTCCCTTACTTGGGCTAAATTGAAAAAAAATATTTAAAAATCAGGCTAACTTTAAGATTAAGGAAAGAAATTTATTCCTTTTAACTGTATTTTTTTTTTTTTTTTTTAAAAATTGCTTTATCAAGGGATTTTATACTCTTCATGATTTTGAAAAAGGAATAGCAATACAGTCCTGTGCCTAGACTTGTGCCTGGGCAAATATTACCTATATGCTGGCAAGTGCTCCAGAGCTGGGTCTGTGGGACTTTCCTGGCTAGTGCCAAGCTGGGAGAGCATCTTCTGTTCTGCTCCTCCTGCTGGAATTTGAGCAGTGAGAAGAGGGAAGGGTAAGACAGGAAAGTTCATGTCTGGAGGGGAGACACTCATTAAGTTCAAATGAGTCCTGGGAGATACAGAAAGTGTTCCTTGACCAGACAGAGGGATAATGTACCCCTGCAAATCCCTGTGTTTTGGTTTCCAGCAGCGAGCAGGACACACAAACTGGGCCCCTTTCTGTGAAGTTAAACTGAAAGGTGTGCTCTGCTTGCTCCCCACAGGATCAGCCTAAAAGCTGCCCAAAGCAAAATCTCCTACAATGTGCACAGGGTGGATTTCAACCTGCCTGCCTGCCTGCTCCTGCCATCTTCAGAGCTGCCCCTTTGGGCTGCACTCCTTTGCTAACATCAGCAGAGTCCCAGAGACCAGCACTTCCCGGGATACAGGAATGGGAGGATGCTCAAGGTCAGCAGCCTGGGACTTTGCTGACTAAGAAACCTGGAAGGGTAATGTCTGGTGAAGCATCAAAATAACAACACAAAGGCTTGATGCCTCTTCAGCCAGTGGAAAAGAATAAGATGTAGTAGAGGAACTGGAGTGAAATAAAAGGACTGGTGACCTGGCACAACGGTGAAGAGGAAGGCTGAAACAAAAAAGAACTCAGACATTGTAGCTTGGAACTGTGCTTATGTGTTACATCACAGTGTTTTATTAAACGTTTCCTCTTATGCCAAAGCAAAATATCATCTCTCTCCAAAAGCTCTTGCCCTATAATGGGATCTGTTTAAAGTATTTTTGAAATAATGCTGAAAATGCTTGAGGTTTCTGTGTGACCAAATTAAAGTGTAGGGAGTTAGACTCACGGTCTATTAGAATTCTGGTTAGCATGCACATTTTATCACAAGTTTTAATAAAATGGGTCTGTATCATTATCTAATGACTTGCTTTTTCAATCATGATAGGTTCCGGGTTTGAAATGTGCTCCTAAGTGTTAAACAGAAAATAAATATTCCAGTTCTTACCTGCTGCCCATCCTTCCCATTTTGGTTGGAAGCAGTAAATAGTCTCATGGATGTATCTGATTTGATTTGCATTGCTGAGAAAGTAAATCCTAGGAGAGAGAAAGCTAAGCAAAAAAGATGTGCTACTTTCTTTTCTTTCAGTCAATGTTATTCCATGTTGGATGAGATTATACTGTGCCATATCTTCAATTTAACTGCCTTCCTCAGTTTCTCTGCTCCCATATTTTTTCATCCAGGTTCCTAAAAGTGGTTAAAAGTCTGCTATGTCATGCCTGAATATTACTTGACTGAGCAACAGGATAATGGGATACTTCCCCCATGTCTTGGAATAAAGAGGAAACCAATTAGCTTAGAAGACACCAAGCATCAGCTGAGAAAAAATGGAGCAAGTTGGATAGCACCCAAGCAGGGATGCACAGGAGGAAGATGTGCAGCACCAAACACATCAGGAGGACAGCAGGGTTTGAGAGATTTAGCTCAAGCAGCTGACAAGTCAAAGGTCTCAGGACACTGGATGGAGATCAGCTGAGACAAGAGTGCTCAGCATCCAGCAATGAGTGCCAGATGCTGGAGAGCTGCTTTGGTCCCTGGTGACTCCAGGAGAGCCCTAACTCTGCCATGGCCTCCTGACAAGGCAGAGCTCAGCCTGCCTGATCCCAGACTGCAGAGCTACACTGCTGCTGGGCAACAGAGAGGAGCAGCAGCATTTGGGACACATCAGGATCCAAGGAGTAACACCCCCATGGTTCACTGTCTGATGACAGCTCCATCCATCACATCCCATCCGTCTGTTATTGCCTAGAGGTCTTGATTCAATAAAAGCAGTAAAGAAGAAAGCCATGGTTCCTTAGTCGTTGTATTACTGCTGGTAGGAAAGGATTTCTTTACATTATTAGGGTATTTTCTGAAAAGTTCCAAAAAAATCAAGAGCTCTACATACAGGAGCAACTGAACTCACATATTGTTCCCAAGGCCAATATTTAGAGACTCCCATTTAGGCAGATTTCTAGCAAGGACTGGATAAGAATTTGCATAGCCAGATTTCAAACCTTTTTTAAAGTACTTAGATGCCAGCTATTAGGGGCTGGTTTCCACTCCCTCCCCTCTTCCCACAGAAATATGGCTTTGCACCTCCCAGTCCCAGCTCCTGTGCCCGAGACCTCGCACTCTGCTCAGCTGCCTGCCTGGTGCAAGTTTGGGAATAGAGGCACTGCTTTGCTGAAGAGCAGGGGAGGAAAGCTCTCCTCCCAGGAGGATTCATGATGGGAAAGCCTCACTGCAGGATATATTAATATAGCTGTACCCCAGTCAATACCCAGGCTCAGTTACTGTTACGTTGCAATAGTGTAATATGTAAAAAGAAATAACATAGAAAATATTATACAAGCAAAATAAAGAAAAAGAAAAACTTACCAAAAATATAGAGGCATATTTATGCGACTTATCATCCCAAAACTGTGCCCACCAGAACCCTAGAAAAATCAAGAAAAATAATATCATTTGTGTTTGTTTACCAAACAGTTTAGATTTATCCAGTTACAGGCATTTTTTTCCTTTCTCATAAAGAGCACATTAAGGGAGGAGCACACTCACAGTGTGCTGTTGCAACATTCACACTAATAGGGCAAAGGAAGCTACAGTAAATTGATTAGGGAATTCACCATTCAGTGCTTCCCTCAAGTGTTGAATCCATCTTTTACTGATTAATAATGAAGCATTAATGAAAATGTTTCTGTGTCTCCATACTCCCACCAATTAAATGTGGTGCAGAAAAAAAGCATACAGCCTTTGGAAATTTTTATTTGTCTCACTTGCCAGACAAGCAGTCGAGTAATTCTTTACTGGGAATATTGGTAAAACAAGATCTGCATTTAGGGGTTTCAGACTGGTAAAGATGGATTCTTAAGCTGACATTTAAGAATCACTGACTCTCAAATACCACATTAGCAATCAAGAAATCAACAATGTTTAGAAGAAATATAATTAGCTCAGCAAGCTCGGCTTGAAACCAACACTGTTGCTATCAGCTGCACCAAGTGCCAGGAGAAAAGAAACAGGGAATTTGTTTTCCATTGAAATATGTTAGATTTTACTTTATTAAGGTTGTGAGAGCTTGAGACATTAATATTTCTGAGAAAGTACTGAAGCCAGCTTAGATCACGGTGGATTTTTCTCCATTAACTGAGCAAATTCTGGGAAAGCAATCTGTCTTTCTCTTGCTTGGTCTGTACTAAATGCATTGCCATGACACTGGGTGAGACAGCCAGGCAGGATGTACGTGAGGTTATTAATGTGTTTTCATTTCATTTATGTACAGAAGTTACTGAGATTGTGTTTAAGACATAATTGCATTAGGCTTTATCTAAATTGACCTTCTCATTCTAGACTTAAGTGGGGAGGATGTCAAGCAAACAGGCCACCAAAGGCAGTACTTCTGGCTACAGATGGCAGAGCTTGCATGTAGGGAGAGAGGAGTAGCTGGGATCAAAGTAGTAATTATTTACTCCAAGCCAGCCAGCATTGGTAGGGCTTTAATGTGGCCACTGCTTTGAAACTTTGAGTGCATGGTGGCCTCAGATCACTGCAGGATTGAAAGCTGCCACCCTTCCTGCATTTCGTAGCAAAGAAGGTCTGAATTAAATCCTAAATGTGTTTGGGAATTGAACTGGACACACAGAGCTGATTGCTCCAGTAGATAATATAGGATGACCATTAGCTCCTACTGTACCTCTTCTCCAAGCAAAAAGCAGCTTTAAGTTCCTTGCTGTCTATCACTTTAGCACTTCTCACAAGTATCTTTAGTGCATTTGGAATTGGAGAGAGAGCTGAAGCATGAAATCACCCTTCCTTAACTTACTGCCAACACCACACTTTCCTCAGTAGGGAATAAGAAGGAAGTAACACCCTTCATGCCCTTGGACCTCCCCAGCACTAAAGGCTCTGTCCCTGCAAAAAGCACGGGTGCATTCCCCAGGGGAAACAGGTCACCCATCACTTGCTGACAAAGCCCCACTTCAGCCAACAGGTACCGAGAGAGTGAGAAGTCTGCTGATAAAAATTTCATGGGGCCAGAGACTGACAAAGAGTTTTCTAAAATAGGCAAGAAATACAAAAAGCACTGGGTTGGAGAAAAGTGACAGATACAGGAAATGTGCATTTTTAGGAGGAGGGTGGGGACTGAAGTTGCAGTGGGTGCTGTCGTGCTCTTAGACTGAGAGCCAGTGTTCCTAGGTGCCCTGGTAAATAGCAATGCATTAGTTTTAAAACTCTGCTCTGAAATGTCACCTTCATCTCCATTGATCTCTATTACCAAACAGGTCCTTCACTGTCACTTGTGACAAAAGGCATTAGTCAATGAAAAGCTCTAAATAACTTGAGGAAGACAAGAAAGCTCTTGTCTCTTAGCCACACAAAATAACATTAGAAAAAAAAAGGCTAAGAAAGTAGGGCACTGAAAATAGCATCTTGTACTGAAACTAAAAATTGAAATATTTTATTCTAATCCTGTCACATTTATCAAAAATATTTGGTGGTAGGGTTATTTTTTTCTCCTCTAGAAAGGATGTTTCTGTCAATGAGGGAATAGCCTAGTGAAATGTTATTAATAATTAATCCCCACACTACACCAAATGCTACACCAACCAGGACAGCTGGTACCACAATCTACTATAAGACTGAAAGTTATCCAAGATGTTCCAAGGCTGAAGCTGCATTTGAACCACTGAACCATCTCCACTGGACCACTGAGAAAGAACTGCTGGCTGGTAGATGTCAACACTCCAAGCTACTTCAGCATCTCTTCACACTTTGTGTCCTCTGTCCCCTCTCACTGAAACACAGGTACCACACTCCCTGGCATCTCTGCTGCTGCAGGACAAGGTATTCCCCCAGCAGGTACCCAGCAGGGTGTGCTGATCCTCTGTGTGCCTGTGAGCACACCCCTGATCTTTGGATAAGCAGCTCTCTGCCTTGTGCCTCAAGCTGCATGTGCTTCCCCACTTCAAACACAGGCATTCATAGAACAGACAAAAATTGTATTTTGGGTGAGACCAGGTCAAAGGCTTGCTCACAAATCACACCCTGGAGCTCTGAGCTTGGGAAATGCATCAGGGCTGTTTAGGCACATCTGCTTACAGTGGGACAGAGGGCACTGATTGATCCACATTGCAAAGTTAGTGCTCTGTTTTCCTGATAAGTCTGCTGCAGCATTAGTTCTCTGAGCAGCACACTTGTTGCTCAGGATAGGCAGTTTTGTGCTTGGTGTTCAGTCCAACAAACAGGGAGCAGAACCAGGGTGAGTCAGGTGTGATGTCCAAGCACTTCTGTCCCTCTGCCTGCAGTCAGCCACCCAGGCTGTGCCCCTCCAGCCACGTCAGCTGTGGGCTCTCTGCCACTGTGCAGACCATGCCACCATTTGGGGGGCATATAAAACTCGGCTGGGAGCAGTGGTCCATGAGGACAGGTAGGTGGGTTTAGGCAATGATTTGGAAAGCTGGTTGCAGCAATTCCTGTGATCCATATGGACAGGCACAGCTACACTGAAAAAAACAAACAAATAAACAAACAAACAAAAAAAAAACAACCAAACAAAAAAAATGGATGCTCAATCAGTTTTGGAGGCATTTCTGTCATTGCTTTGGGTCTGTGTGATGAGCTGAGAGCAGTGGCCCTGCCGTAACCACCAACATCCCCATGAACTGCCATCACATCCATCTGCCAGAGCCCGGCGCCTCAGAAGCTGTCACCAGAGAGGAGTTTCCAGGGAAATTATGTTTCTCTGCTCTTCCCTTAAATCTTAAACTGAAGGCACACGAAGGTGGCTGTAAATCCCCTGGTGCTGCCCAGGCAGAGGGACATCTCCACAGAGCTGAGGCACAGCTCAGAGCAATCCTTCCTGTGCCCCAGCCCCGAGACTGATCTGCTCTGCTGACACATCCTTCATAGCAAAGAGAACTGCAAGAAGAAGATGTTATGTGCATGTGCTGGCTCCATATCACCTGGTGGGATGCAGAGGGAAGGTCTGGGCTCCCTGAGGTCTCCCCAGAGTCACCACTCTGCCCTACAGCTTTTCTTAGATCACTCCTGTGCCCCAATACTCTGCAGTGTAAGTGTTGAGCTACAGCTTTTGTTCCTTGTTTTCCATAAATATTGCAGTAATTAGCTGAATTTAATTACAGTTATCATGGAATAACAAGCATTAATCAGATTCTAGTAGCAGCTGTATTTTGCTCTTTTGAAAGCAAGAAACTATTTTAAAACTATTTCATTAAAAGCATGAAATTATTTTTAAATCAAAGCAAAAAAGCATTCTATATATAGAGTGGCATTATTCCAGTGCATACAAACACCTCAAAATAAAAATGGTATCTTAATGGGATGAAGAATGTCTTAGAGGAAGAAAATCTAAAGAAGGATTTAGCTGGACAGCACACTCGACCTAAAAGGGACACAGTGAGAACAAAATAAAATACAACAGTTTTCTCATCTCTTCTATTTAAGCTGCTGACATGTACTTTTTGTAGAGATGCCCATCTAATTACAGCATCATAAAGTTCTTCAAATGTGCATAAATTGCTCTAATCCACACATCAGCTCCTCCTTTGCATTGCAAGAAACATGTCAGTGCAATGTGGATCAAGCCCTTTAGAGATAAAAAGCAGTTTGCTTTTGAGATTCCTCTGCTCATCAATTTTCCATTTTCCCTCCTCCTCGTGTAATGTGGGATCCATCTGGGATCACACATAAAAGTGCAGAAGGGCTGTGGGAGGTTCCCACCTGCAGACCCCTGAGGACAGCGGGCAGGACAAGGTGTCCCCAGGGAGCTCCAGGGAAGTGCCTGCACATGATCACACCCCGCATGGCTCTCCTGCACAGCTTGGGGTTCTGCACCCATGGGTTCTCCTGGGAGGTTTTTGTACACATAAAATTACAGATGTGTGAATGAGTCCTGGTTTAGACTCAAAATTAAGATACTGCAAACTGCACAGCATGTGGAGCATCAGCTATTCATTGTTATTCACAGGAGTTAGGATTTAAATCCCATTTTTGCCTTCCAAAACTGATTATGAGCACCCCTTCCAAGCTGAAGGTACCATTGTTATGATACAATTATTGCTAGTTGTGATTAAAAAATGTGCCAGGCAGTGCAGCAGTTCCAGAAAGATGTGTAATACCATGCAATGACCTGGGCAGCTACATCACAGGCAGAGAGAACACATGGTCACTGTACCCTGCTCATCACTACAACTGAACTCACAGAATCACTGGGTTGGAAGACCCCTTAAAGATCATCGAGTCCAACCCAGCCCCATCACCTCAACTAAACCCTGGCACCCAGAGCCACATTCAGTCTTTTATTAAACACATCCAGGGATGGTGACTCCACCACCTTCCCAGGCAGGCCATTCCAGAATTTTATCACTGTTTCCATTAAAAACTTTTTCCTGATATCCAGCCTAATACTGAGTGCCCC